TATAGATTTTCATCTCATCCCCGTCCCCGTCGGGTATCGGGTATACCGATACCCGTACTCGTACCCGTCAATTTTTTATTTTTTATTTTTTTATAAAAAAATGAGATTTTTAATTTTTTTTTATTATATTATAATTATAATTAGGTTATTTTTTTATCTTATATTATAATAAAAAATCACACATAAGAAAAATTAAATTTTTTTAATATAATTAAATTGAAAGTGAGTATTAAATTAAAAACGAGAACGGGACGGGTACGGGTACGGGGCGGGTAAGTACATACCCGTACCCGTACTCGTACCCGATTTAATATATCGGGTTTTACATGTACCCGTACCCGTACCCGGTCAAATCGGGTATTTCTCGTCAAAGTCGGGACGGGTACAGGTATGTTTGCCATCCCTATCTGGAACAGCCCGTTTCAGGTGCAAAATTAACACACCAAGAGTGCATCCAGAACGGCCCGTTCTGATTTCAGAACGGGTCGTTCTGGTTCCAGATGTTTTCACAAAATTTGGTGTCCACGTGGTATCCACGTATGCATCTATGTGACATCCACGTAGACAAAAGTTAACTCCGTTTAAATAATTTGGACGGAAGTCCCAAATTGAAACTAATTAATTTATTAGGGACCAAATTGAAACTAATTAATTTATTTGGGACCAAATTGAAACTAAAAATAAAAGTGAGACTAAATAGAAACAAACAATTATTATAAGAGACCAAAATAAGATTAAATATAATGTATTTTAACTTTTAGTTACATATAATAAACATTTAACATATTACACATGCTAAAATACTAATTTCACATAAACTAAAAATGTATTTAAAGAAGAAAAAAAAAGTTTTTTGGTCTATTTTTATTGATTAAAAATGTATTATCATTTAGAATGTATCTTCTTCAGTTTTCTTTTTAAATTAAAACTCATACATTGTGACCCATGTTTGATATTACTTTTTCAAGAAAAATAATCTTTTTAAACTTTTAATTGGCCAAAAAGTAGTTATTACTTTTAATTGCCTCGCTGTTCAAGATAACTCTTAAAGGAAAGTTTACTGTAAAACAAACACATAACACTCTGTACAATGTCATTGTATTTATCTCGTTATAACGTTATTTATTATATTTATTAATTATAAAGAGGTAGACAAATAAAATAATAAGAAACAAATTTGGAAGCGATCGAACAATAACAAGATCCATCTCGTTTTGAAGAATAGTCAACATGTTATTTGGGTCATGTTGATCAACTCTCACTAACTAACTAGTAACTACCAATGACTCCCAAGTTAATTGGGCCAATCTTGTGCAAAAAAGCCCAGTTCACAAGGCTTGCATAGTCTTAGTCTCGCGGGTTTCTCCGGCAAGCCTCGGATTTATGCTCGCCCCTACTTCCAGGTATGGACGCTCGAGTAAAATCAAAAGTTGGAGGTTTTGACCTTAGTAGACGCTTACGAATATTGCCAATACTAGCTTACAATTTGACTTTTTAATAAATAAAAATTTTAATTTACTCCCACTACATTAATTCTCCATTTTTTACTATACATTCCTTCTGTTAAATTTATCAGAATTAATAAAAATCAAAAGCAAAGTACAAACAATTACTGCTGATTAGGGAGAACATGTTGAAGCATTTTAGATAACAAAGAGACATAGAAATACCAACAGAAGCGTCTACTACTATCGGGACTGATTGGATTGCAATTTACGATCCGAAACATAACTGAACACACCCAACACAGTTTATAAAATTGTACGTATTGGTCCATATTATTTAGTACTTCAACAATGAAAGTGTGAAACCATTATTAATGTCACTGAACATATACAACCATCCTACTAAAATTGGCTACCAAATTGTAATTAAATTAAATATTATCGAAGTGTAAATCATTGTCTTCCACAGGTAAAAAAAAACTGCAATAACATGAAACCTATATGACTCTTTTTCAGACGAAACAACTCGTGCCAAAACCAATCAAAAATACAATAACAGCACTGCACACGAAGATTCAACATCCAATTCAAACTGAAACTACAATCAAAAAACAGAAGACAGCGATTATTGAAATCACCTTTTCCATTACGGTACTTCTCTCTTGCTAACGATAATAATCTATATAGGAGTTCTTATAACATCATAGAAGTGCCATCTAGCAAATAATGGAAGAGGTCCTCACCATTTCTTACAGAAAAATCCTAATCTTTTTTTAATATTTAAGTTAGGTGTATCAAGGAAATTTGCAACTTCAAACAAATAGACTTAGCCATGATAATATTTATACACGCATCCATAAAAATGGAGATGTCAACTTCCTACAGAGATACATAGATGATCTCCGCAAAACATCACGCAAGTTACAAATTATAAACCAGCTTAACAATTCCACCATCACTCCTTGTTCATGATATTCACATGCAATATCCGGAAACATAAAATGCAATTCACAAGCGACGAACAATCAACCCTTGCATTCTATTAAGAAATGGTAAAAAAAAGTTACAGTGAAGAAAATGAATTTCCAACAATCATTCATCGCCCATGAAGGATATAACTAAAATGCAAATGTCAATAATATTTACCAATTTCAGAGAACATCATCACCACACAGGCATAACATAAACATTAGAAAACAAAGTAAAACATTTCTGACATCCAGCTACGTAACCCATAACTAAGAAAAAGCATCATGCAAAAAAATGACACAACAATCCTACAATATTAAGGCAATATTTCAGACATCTTTTAAACTTCAATGCAAATTGATATGCATCTGGCAGTGTTTCTAAAAACTAGAAAAGAAAACTCAATTCAGAAATCCACACAGGAGATAAGTCAGTGGTGAGTATTACTAAGAGATATGATTTGAGCCCATGATATCTGCACTTCAGCAGATGTTAGATAAAACTTATATAAAAGGGTCATTATAATCCTTTGAGCCACATCTATCAATCACAATAAACACCAAGGCTAAATTTATCAAGTAAATATGAACAGATAAACAATTGTAAAAAGTTTACTTAAACCATTGCTATTAATTAAAAACCCCAGGGGTTCGTGCTAAGTACAAACACAACAGAGGATAAGCAATGACACCAGAACAAAAATCACCAGAAATTAAATGAACTAAACAAACCACCAATTCAGTTTAACCTACATATACTAACAAAAGGGCCAAGTATACGCATAATAAGCTAAAATTCATTGACAAAATTATACCAAAAACATATTATGCTGTGAGCAGAAAAAAACTAATAATCCCATAATAATATCTCTCGAAATCATCTAAATTATCCAAAGCAGTAAATAAACATAAAACAAAACGTCCAATACTTGCCCCAAATTTATATTAAAAAGAAGAAAAAAGAAAAAGCACATAACAAACAGAAGAGGGAAAAAGAGTCTTCCTCATCCTCATTCGAGAGGGACCTCAACATCACCGTCGGTGATCTCTTGCTGCAAGTCCTTGGGATCCTTCCCATCAACGGTGCATCCAACGGAGACACACGTCCCGAGAATCTCCTTAATCGAGCCGCTGAGGTCCTTGGCCATTGACCTCGGCTTCATAACCCTAGCGATCTCGATGACGTCATCAAGCGAGATGTTGCCGTTGTGCTTGATGTTCTTCGTCTTCTTCCTGTCGCGCTCGGGCTCCTTGAGGGCCTTGATAACAAGCGCCGCGGCGGAGGGGACCACCGTGACCTTGGCCTGACGGTTCTGCACGGTGAGCTTCACGGTCACTCGGAGGCCCTTCCAGTCCTTGGCGGTTTCCTTGGCAATGTCTTCTCCGATCTTCTTGGGGGAGAGACCGAGGGGACCGATCTTGGGGGCGAGGGAACTCGCCGCGCCGACCTCGCCGCCGGTGACGCGGACGAAGACGTCGACGACCTGGGAGGGGTCGAACTTCGGCGGCATTGTTTTGCAGAGATGGAAGAGGGGTTAGGGTTTGGGGGTGATAATGAGGCGAAGCGGGTTCAAGGAGTACAAGGAGGGGTTATATATATTGACCACTAGGGTTTTTCTTTACACTAACTGGATTTGGGCCCTTATATGTGGATCCACTCAGATCAAGTTACTCTATTTTTCTTATATTTTCTAATTGGGTTACTCTTTTAAGATAATGTTATGTGTTGGGCTTTACTTGATACTTAGTTCTCATAAAAATTGGAGTCCATATCTTGAGAATTATAGAGAAAAATAATATTCAATATATATATAGTAACAATAATAGATTAAGCCTTAAATAAGGATTTATGTTCTTATTTTTATAAAATTTAACCCGATTTGATCTATTTAATAAAAGTATTAGAATTAAGTTTTTTTAAAAATGTGTTATGCTTAATAAATTAGTTTATTTATTTATATAATATAACAAAAAAATTAATATATGTATATTATTAATAATATAAATAAATAAATATTATAAAATAAAAAATAAATAAATTATCAATATTTTATCACTTTTACTTAAACATTTTATGTATCATATTCATACAAAATCAATAAATTACAAATGCAAATTTTCACTATCATGTTTATTGTACAACATTGTACATGAGTTTACATGAATTGTTCCTTTAATAGAAAATGATTTCTTTTACTTATTCTTTATGATATTGCACATGTATGTTTTTTAATTTGTTACCATAATTATTTTTATTTGTTAACAAATTAAAATAGGAGTCAAATATTTAGAATATGACAAATGAGTTATGAAAAATATTTATAAAGTTACTATTGGATAAGAATAAGAAAACTCTTTATTGTCTAATAAAAAATTATTCATTTTCTCCCTCTTTGTGGCATTATATATATTTCTTTTAAAATCTAAAGTATATCGAATGACAAAAGTCATATGTTGATAAGAAGAAAAAGCCTTTGGAGTTTGCTAAAAGAGAGTGCTAAAAGAGAGTATGTGTTTCTGAAGGTGACACCCACTATCGAAGTAGGAAGGGTGATAAAGTTCAAGAAACTGACCCCACAGTTTATTATACCTTATCAAATCCTTCGTCACGTATGTCCACTACTTATCAATTGGCGTTGCCACCATTCTTATCCAACCTACATGATGTATTACATGTGTTTCTGTCAGGAAAGTATGTCTATGACCAAGTCATGTAGTGGAGGTGGATGAGGTGCATATTGGACTTTAAAGAGAACTTGACTTATTATAAGAGACTATTGTTGTAATTGATTACATGCTGAAGGAGTTGAGGGGCAAATTCATTTGCTTAGTGAAGATATTATGGGATGCAACTACTGATGAGGTTTTCTGGGAGGTTGAAGAGTAATTCAAAGATCAATATCCATTTCTATTCCTAAGTAGGTTAATTTTTTGGGATGAAAAATCTTGTGGTTGAGGAGTATTGTTACACTATATATTTTTACTAATAATTGATAATTTGGTTTATTTATATGTTGTGGTGATTTTGAGGTTTAATTGTCAAGAAACTTAGGGAGTTTAGGAATTCCTTATGCGTTTTAGGAAGTTTAAGGGTTCTTTGGACAGATGTTCAGTTGACCCTGAGGAGATGGTATATAAGGTTTCTTTTAAGACTTTAATTTTAGTTGTTGTGGATTGGTGTCCTATTTGGTTATTAATCTAGCAAGTGTAAAAAAATTGTGTTGGTTTGAATGTGTGACGACATATGTAGTTGAGGTGTTATATATATGATGCATTGATTTTTGGTGTTGCTTATATGTTATGTTGATTTGTTGTTGAATGACATGATTGTTATTGTAAGTTGAGATTGTTGTCTACCTTTCAAGGTTGTTGAATGTCATGTTCAGATGTTGTGTTATGTTTTTTACATGTGGACATTTGGTAATATAGTTATTTTTAGGCTAAATCCCTATTTTGGTCCCTTATAATAATTGTTTGTTTCAATTTAGTCTCACTTTTATTTTTGGTCTCAATTTGGTCCCTCATAAGTTAATTGGTTTTAATTTGGGACTTCCGTCCAAATTATTTAAACAGAGTTAACTATTGGCCACGTGGATGCCACATGGATGCATACGTGGATGTCACGTGGACGCCAAATTTTGTGAAAACACCTGGAACCAGAACGGTCCGTTCTGAAACCAGAACGGGTCGTTCTGGATGCACTCTTGGTGTGTTAATTTTGCATCTGAAACGGGCCGTTCTAGATGCAAAATTAACACAACACTTGTACATCAAAACGACCCGTTCTGAAACCAGAACGGCCCGTTCTAAAACCAGAACGGCCCGTTCTGGATTCAAAATGGCCGGTTTTGGTTTTAGAACGACCCGTTCTGGTTGCATTTTTAGTGTGTAAATTTTACACCTGGAACGGGCCGTTCCGGATGCAAAATTTACACACTATAAGTGCAACCAGAACGGGCCGTTCTGGTTTCAAAACGGGCCGTTCTGGTTCCAGGTGTTTTCAAAAAATTTAGCATCCACGTGGCATCCCCCTATGCATCTACGCGGCATCCATGTGGCCACACAGTTAACTCCGTTTAAATAATTTTGGACGGAAGTCCCAAATTGAAACCAATTAATTTATTAGGGACCAAATTGAGACCAATTAATTTATTTGGGACCAAATTGAGACCAAAAATAAAAGTGGGATTAAATTGAAACAAATAATTATTATAAGGGACAAAAATAGGTTTTTAGCCTTATTTTTATTTATATACTAGATATATGTTTATTCCTTAAATACTAGCCTACCTACGTATATTTTCCTTATGGTTAGACTATGATGATCATATATATATATGAGAGCATGACAGGGTTAGACTGGAGCCAGTGCATTTTGATGCCACGTCTAACAATGACTATGATAACTTTTTTAGACTATCTTGATGTAGTTAATTTAACTGTGTTGTTCGATTGAGAACTTAACATTTTTATTTTCAGTACTAACTTATTATCTATATTTATATACTTGTATAGTGTTCTGTCTTCTTTTAGTTGTTGTTGAGAATTTTCACATATATGTAGTATTGTGCATATATCCATATACTATATACATATCTAGTTTAGGTATTATATGTTTTTCGTTGCTAGTAGTTGAACCGTTAAGTGTAGAAACAATGACATGTCGCTACACTTCTCATATTTTGTAGTTATTTAAATAAAAAAGATTTTCATGAGATATATTTTCTTAAGAACCATTTTTATCTAACTTTCACACAAAAACATTTATATAAAAGGGTTGGAAATCCATTTTTTTTCGAGTTAAAGAAAAAATTTGATATATACCAAATATCACAATATCTTTTTTTAAAACAAAATATATATAATCGGAATTTATCTTCTTCTAAAACATTCATGTTTTCATACATTTCATTGTTCAATTTTAAAATATTGAGAAAAAGACATTCATGTTTTCATACATTTCATTGTTCAATTTTAAAATATTGAGAAAAAGGTAACAACATCGTTTATACTTTCATAAACTCCATGTAAGTCCTTTTTTTCCCTCTCTCTCATTTTTGTATGTAAGTGTGATGTAATATCCTTATTGATTAAAACTCATTATTTTCATCATTTCTTATTTAATTAATTTCGTGTCAATACCTATTTGATTAAATAGTTAAATTGAGTGTTTTCGTAATTTCATCAAATACAATTTTAATATGTTAACCCTAATTATTATATTTTTTTTATCCATTGTCACTGGACATCAAATATGAAAACACATTAATTTTATTAACTAATTAAAATATAAATTAAATTAAATAATTAATTAGACATATTTTTTTATCACTTTTAATTATATTGTCTTAAAAAAGAGAAAATTAGGATAGCATTTCATGTATAAATTTGTAACAAATTATTTCATTGTGTTTTTTATTACAAAATATTTTATTGTTATTAGGTAGGAGTTAATATATTTTTATTTTATCACTTTTTTCATTAACTTGACAATTAAAAATAAATAATTATAAAATTTTCATAAGATATGATATTTTTATAATTATTTTAAATCTATAAATTATAAAATTGTGTTGCTAATTTCTTATTAAGATTTTTAATTTATAAATTTAACAAGTTATTTAAGCAAAATAATGTTATATATATGTATATATTATTTTCTAGTTTACTTGTATTTTAATTTTAATTGTTATTTTGATTGTTACTTTAACTTTTTTTTCTTATTATGATAAACTATAAAAATTATATTTTACTCTTTGATTTATTGTATATAATTTAATCGTATGCAAATTATTGATGTGTTATTTAAAATGAATATGATATTTTTTATGCTAGATTATGATACAATTATACTCTACAAGGAAGAAGAAATTCAACTTTTTGTAAAGGATATTGTAAAAAATATTTATATATATAAGAAAGTAATATTGTAACCAAACATGAAAATCTTTATTTCCCAACAAAAATCATATAAATATTTTCAAGAATATTTACAAGTAACCAAACGAATTTTAGTCATTCTTAAGAATTATGATTTTTTATACTCATAATTCTCAGGAATCATGATTCTTAAGTATAAAAAAATTTCTCCCTACTAGACACTAACACCAAATTTTATATCTTTAAAAATTTTTTGTACAATGCAAATTTAATTTATTCAACCATTAAATCATGTGATATTATACTCAAAATTATATATATCAAATTTAACATGATTTAAAAAATATTTAGTAGTTCAGCACATTGTTTTATTTAAATATACGGTATGATATTTAAAATATGCATGAATATCAAATTCTGGAAAACATTTATAAAACTAAAAAGTTTAAATCATGTAAAATCCGATATACGTGATATTATACAATTCAATAGTTGAATTAGTTAAATTTTGTATTATACAAAAAAGTTATTAAAGTTTTAAAATTTGGTATAAATATTTAAATTTACACTTGGATTTACACCTCTCATGTCTTATTATGAAAAATGAGTGGAGTAAATCATAATCATTAGATTATAGATAAAAATATTCAATTGATAAGATTAAAACTTAATTATAAGCACTATTGTATAAGAACAATGAGAATATTGATATTATTAATTTTTTCACTACTATCAATATCACTACCACTATCATTATTATTATTGTTGTTATTATCACTCTCAATATCATAATCATTGTCATTGTTACTCTCGTTGACGTTGTCACATGGCGGCAACAATAACAATACTAATGGTAATAATAACGATAATTAATGATAAAGATGGTGACAATGTCACTACTAATATTATCATCTATTATTACCATTGTCGTTATTAATAATGAAAATAATAATAATAACATGGATGTTTACAACAATGACTGATGATAATGTTGATAATTATAGAATAAATAATAATAATAATAATAATAATCTCCTAAAAATATATAATTAAGTTTAAATTTTAATTATTTATTACTTTAGCTATAATTTACTTTTCTCATTTTATTTTATCTACGTATATAAGGTGCAAAACTTTTCTCTGAATTGATCACGATACATGGATTTAATATCGTGGACTTACTAAATGTAAAAGTAACAAAGGTTTGTAATTTAATTGATTAAAGTAAAAATCATGACTGAGTAAGAGGAATCTTAATAAGACTCCCACTTGTTATCTCTCCCAAAAAGGAAGAATAACCCACCAATTTGAAGTTAATGAAGTCTGTTTTTCAAGATCCTCGATTAGGTGCTCCTGACTTTTCTTTTGTATAAAGCTCTTATTCTTGATCCTAAAATCCACTAATCCATGGGTGCAATATTGTTGGCCCCTTGAGAGTTGTTGATTTCATAAGTGGGACACAACCTCAATTCAAATAAAATGAACATCCAGATATGCCGCCCTGTAAGTGAACTTTCAATAAATAAGAACTCCAATCAATAATCCTTTCAATGCTTTGTCACTTATTCCACATCATAACAAAATTGGATATAAATTTTAAACTTAATCCTTGCCCCTAAAAGGAATAGAAAGGCCAAAATCAAAATGTTAAATGGAATAATATAATCAATGTTTAACTTGTAATGGCTAAGCCACACACTAGCATAGAGTAGGACCCTCCTTGTCTCGCATAATTTATAATTCTTATCCGTCATAACAGGGTAGACAGATTTCTTTTCATCCTCTATACATTAAAAGTTTTTAGTAGACTATCACTGTTGTTGTTTCATATCCTTTTTTTTATTTTGTTTCTTTTGTAGTCAATTGCTCATCCATATAGATTATTCATTTCATAGTTAACTTTGTAGTACTAGCCAGTGTTATTGAAAGAACCAAAGAGGAACATATCATAAATGATATTAGATGATTTTTTTTAATATTATTGTAACTATTAATCATACACCTTCTCTCTGATCTAGATATAAAAGTATAAAACAAAAATACTTGTGCTGTTATGCACCGTGAGTCACAACTTGGGGTACCTAAAAGTGGCATAAACTTAGATGTTGTATTCAATGTATTGTTTATTTTTAGGAGAGGAGCAAAGGTTCAAACTAAATTCCAAGGGAAAATAAGAAAAATTATAATAAACATCTATGGACAGTTCTTGTGGATGCTTGTTGGATTACCCAATGCATGTTTTGATTACTTCTTGTTGTTCTTCTTCTAGTAATCTTTTTTTTTTTCTCTCCTCCTTCTTGTTGATAGGTCTATCAAATTTGAAATAACAGAAGTGTTAATAACAAATTCTCTAACATATTTATTTTTATTAATTTAAGTTTATTAAAAAATAATAAAAGTAAGAAAAATTATCATTAAATAAAATGTAAAATCTATCAGTTTTTATATCTTTAGTAAATTTTAATCACTTAAAAATATGTTATTAATATTTCTCATAATCATTTCTATATAAAATATGGTGTTTGAAACTAATACACGCTGTCACTTAGATTATCTTCGATAAAAAATAAAATTAAGATACAATTTTATAAGTTAAAAATATTATAAAAATACAACTATTCTAAATGCTTTACGTGGACAAATGAAAAGTATGATATGTACATATATATATTTTTAATTTATTCTTTACGATGAATGCCATTTGTATCATGTATAGTAAATATTTTTTTATATTATTAGAAAAAGAAATAAAGTCAGTTCTTAAAAAATGACAGCTGCAACTTGATGGCCCTCGGCCTGCCATGACTTGTCCTTGCTGTAGTTTGTTTTTTTTTTTTTTTGTTTTTTTTTTTTTTTTGCTTTCACAATGTACCAAAAAAATACACGGTATTTTCAATGAAAGCAACTCATTTGAGTTGTTTCATGCATTAAAAAATGAAAAAAGTGGTCCCGAGTGTGCCATGTCAGTATTAAACAACTCAAACATAAATTTACTCTAATGGTAAGAAACTTTAAGAAATTCTAAAAATTAAAATTTTTTTCTAACTATTTATGAACCAATTTTAAATTTTTATTAAAAAGGATAAATTGCACTATAATGAAAGAAAATAAATTACGAGAAAAAATACACATTAAGTAGATATTAAAAATAAAATAATAATAAATACATAGACATTATACAAAATTAATTTTCATCATTATTATTTCTGAAACGTTTCCAAATATGTTCAATAAAATTTGTTTGAAATCTGGTAAGGAACGGTTGCTTGAGGAAACAACTCTTTCTCTTCCTCAAACAACTCATGTTACCACGTCAGAATCCTCTAATAATAAAAAATCGGGACTTGAATCGCTTATGGGACAAGTAATTTTCATTGAAATTGCTATTAATGAAACTTAATAAATGACAAACAAAAATTTAGCATATCTATGAATATAAATACGCTGTCCTGATATGTGCAGCATGCCGTATACCATTAACATAAAAGAAATCTGAATTGTGTCGGACATAATAATGTGTTGTTATATTATTTAAATAAAACTAGCATTTTATATACCAAATATTTATTATATAATTAAAAGTTATAATATATTATATAAATAAATATATATTTAAAGTTATTAGTTGGATTATATTTACAATGTGTTTAAATAAATACTTTTAACATATAAATTGTATTTTAGATTTTTGAGAAATAATTTTTATTATGATAAAATATTATTTTAGTTATTATTAATTTATAGTAAAAATATTAAAACTTAATTAAAAACAATATGATAAATATAAATGGAAATAGATAAAATAAAATTTAAAAGAATTCTAAAAGTCGTGATTTTATTGAAAAAACAATCACTTATAAATACTATCGCTACAATAAGCTCTCTCAAATGCCCGTGCACAAAATAGTTAGTGATATAAATTTTTTTTCTTCTTTCAGTAAAACAGTGTCTAATCAGATATCACCTTTAATATGTTTTTTTACTTATTCATTATAAAAAGTTAACAATTTATTATAAACAATAATTTATGATGGAATTCTTCTATTCCTCCTCTAGGCTGAAGCTAAAACTGTTGGGTAATGGACAACATTTTCAGTCAAGCTATATATAAGGAATAGAAAATACTAATGAGTATTAGAATTACAATAAGATATGTGGTCATGTGGCTGGAAGTGATATGTGAAAGTAAAGTAATGAGCATTTATTTATTCTTTGTGCAGTCTGTCCGGTCCAGCATAAACACCAAATGCACTTTCTCTAGAATCCTGAAGAAGAGATGAACAAATGTTAATACATGAATGATTAATGTGAATATTAAGAAATAACAACTTTTTTGGAGTTGAAACAAAAAGTGTTGAATGGTTCAGTGAAACTATAAATGAAACGATAAACAGAAGAGAATGAAGAGATTACGCGTGTCGCATTGGAGGTCAGGGCCAGCTGGCAAGCAGGAAATGAATTAGCGTTAAATGATAGGAGTGAGGTCTTACTGTCATATGCCACCATGCACCTTCATCTTTCTCCAAATCATTGGATGCCACGTCTCCTATATATAGCTACCATAATACGCCTTTCTTCACTATACATACTTTAAATTACAAATAAAAACAATAATAATTCTAATATTTTTGGTCAAAGATTTTAGGTTTTAGTTCATTTTTACTAAAAAGTAATCACATTTATTTTAAAAGGACTAAATTCGTTTTTTGTTTTTTAAAGTTTGATAACTAAATTTATCAATATGGATACGCAATAATCTTATTAAACAGGATCACATCTGTCATCATATATATAGTGAGGTGATATCAACTATCTTTATTTCAGCATATTATGATAATTAAAGGCAATACAAATGTTGTTTGTTCTTGAGATAAATTTAAGTTGATCTCATGTAATGGACTGTTTGAGATTGATCACAAAAAGTATTTACACCTTTTGGTCATAGCATTTGAAGAAGCATTGTGAAATGTTCAGGCAGATTCCCTGTAATCAGGGTTTAGTTGCTATAAAAGTTAATTTCTTTGGCTCATCAGCAAAATTTATCTGTTATTGACTTTTATATATAAATTAAAAAGGTTACATATGTTAATAAAAAGACTTCATCCAGCAGAAAAAAAAATGCAATAACAACCTTATTAAACAAAGTTTTAAATTTCTCATCTCGATCTTTTGATTGTGACTTTCACTCATAATCAGAGTTAAAAAGTTTTTCTCATTCTTCTTATCTTCATTTGATATCTTTATTTTGATTCATTTTAAATTATATAATCATTAATAAATTAAAAGATTTCTTATGATCAATTCAAAATTTTAAATATAATTTTTTCCATAAACAGGATGAAAAACAAACAAAATGAGTGTAAAAATAAAAGTATTTATAGAAAAATAACGGCTTGTTAGGTATAATTTTGTTAATGAAGCGGGGTTTTATTGAAACAGTAAAATGGGTGGGTGGGTAGTTGGTAGTTTCTCATTCTCACACATTAGTGAGGAAGAAAAGGCATATATAGAAGATGGAACCTTATCCATAATGTAACGCAGCATTTTCTCTATATTAGTATAATTATTTTCACACGATACACGATATTATTTAAGAACAAGAATAACAACATTTATATACCACCTCCACATCTCTCTCTCTCTTTCCTTTCCCATTCTTATCCAAAAATAATAATGAAAACGGTATTTACAACAACACTCATTTCCCTAACGAGAATAAAGAAAAGGAAGGAAGCAAACCCTTTTATAAAAGCACACCAAAGGAACCATAATAAACAACAACGTAGGAGAAAGCAAACCCTCCACAACACAACACAACACCACACACAGAGACACAACCTAAACTTCCACGCGTTATAAAAACCACCACCTGCATGCTTACAATGGCCACCAGAAAAACCTACTTCGCCGCACGGAGCCACCGTTTCCTCCCCGTAGCTCCAGACACGGACTCTCTTTCCCTTTCCGTGGATTCCGATTCCGATTCCGCGTTCGAGTTCCACGAGTCCGAGATTTACGACTCGGGCCGGGCCAACTCGTTCGAGTGCCGCGGATCGTTA